GCAACGAACAAACAAACGAAAGGGCCCATTGTTATGCTTTCCTTGGGAGATCGGAGGCGGAGACATCTGATACTGTCATCACAGGTAATCTTCTAGTTTGTGATTGCATGGCTTCTGTATTGTTTGATCCTGGATCCACATTTTCTTATGTATCTTCCTCATTTGCTAATGGTCTAAATTTACATTGTGAATTACTTGATATGCCTATTCGTGTTTCTACTCCGGTGGGTGAGTCTGTGGTAGTTGAAAAAGTATATAGGTCTTGTTTGGTTAACTTTGTGGGGAGCAACACTTATGTAGATTTGGTTATCTTAGAAATGGATGATTTTGATGTAATTCTGGGTATGACTTGGCTTTCTCCGAATTTTGCGATCTTCGATTGTAATGCTAAAACTGTGACGTTAGCCAAGCCAAGGACAGATCCGTTAGTGTGGGGTGACTACACTTCCAATCCGGTGCGTATCATCTCCTTTCTTTGTGCTATGAAAATGGTTAGTAAAGGGTGTTTAGCTTTCTTGGCACATCTCAAGGATGATACTACCCAAGTACCTTCGATTGAGTCGGTTCCAGTAGTCCGTGAGTTTCTGGATGTGTTCCCTGCAGATCTTCCTGGTATGCCACCAGATAGGGATATTGACTTCTGTATTGATCTTGAACCGGGTACTCGCCCCATTTCTATACCCCCTTATAGAATGGCTCCCGCGGAGTTAAGAGAGTTAAAAGCCCAACTTCAAGAGTTGTTGAGCAAAGGCTTCATTAGACCAAGTGCATCTCCTTGGGGTGCTCCAGTTTTGTTTGTAAAGAAGAAGGATGGGTGTTTTCGGATGTGCATAGACTACCGGCAGTTGAACAAGGTAACCATAAAGAACAAGTATCCCCTTTCTCGCATTGATGACTTGTTCGATCAGTTACAAGGTGCTTGTGTCTTCTCTAAGATTGACTTGAGATCCGGTTATCATCAATTGAAAATACGGCCAACGGATGTGCCAAAGACTGCTTTTAGAACCAGGTATGGGCATTACGAATTTGTAGTGATGTCTTTTTGTCTTACGAATGCCCCTGCTGGGTTCATGAGTTTGATTAACGGGATTTTTAAGCCATATTTGGATCTCTTTGTGATCGTATTTATTGACGATATACTGATATACTCTAAAAGTAAGGAGGAACATGAGGAGCATTTGAGAATGGTATTGGAAATGTTGAGGGAGAAAAAGTTTTATGCCAAGTTCTCTAAGTGTGAGTTTTTGCTAGATGCAGTGTCCGTCTTGGGGCACGTGGTTTCTAAGGATGGAGTGATGGTGGATCCTTCTAAGATTGAGACAGTGAAGAATTGAGTAAGACCTACTAATGTGTCAGAAATAAGGAGCTTTGTTGGGTTAGCTAGCTACTACTGCAGATTTTTCAAGGGATTCTCTTCTATTGCTTCCCAACTGACGAACTTGACTAAGCAAAATGTTCCATTTGTATGGTCGGATGAGTGTAAGGAAAGCTTTCAGAAGCTCAAGATTTTGTTGACTACTGCACCAACTCTCACCTTGCCAGTGGAAGGTAAGAATTTCATTGTCTATTGTGATGCATCCTATTCGGGTTTGGGTGCAGTGCTAATGCAAGAGAAGAATGTGATTGCTTATGCTTCAAGACAATTAAAAGTGCATGAACTTAACTATCCAACTCATGATTTAGAATTGGCCGCGGTAGTGTTTGCATTAATGCAATGGAGACACTATTTATATGGGGTTAAGTGTGAGGTCTACACAGATCATCGTAGCCAACAGTATGTCTTTACTCAGAAAGATTTGAACTTGAGACAGAGGAGATGGATGGAACTACTGAAGGACTACGATATCACTATCTTGTATCATCCGGGGAAGGCGAATGTTGTAGCAGACGCCTTAAGTAGAAAGGCGGGAAGCATGGGAAGTCTAGCTCACTTGCAAGCTTCTAGACGCCCATTGGCTAGAGAAGTTCAGATTCTGGCTAACGACCTTATGAGATTAGAAGTAAATGAGAAGGGAGGATTTTTAGCTTGTGTGTAGGCAAGATATTCCTTCCTTTACAAGATTAAGGGAAAGCAGTTTAATGATGAGAAATTGATCCGGATCTGAGATAAAGTGTTGCAAGGAGAGGCTAAAGAAGCGACAATCGATGAGGAAGGTGTTTTGAGGATTAAGGGAAGGGTATGTGTACCCCGCGTCGATGATTTAATCAACACTATTCTTACATAGGCTCATAGTTCAAGGTACTCGATACATCTGGGTGCAACCAAGATGTACCGTTACCTAAAGCAACATTTTTGGTGGAGTAGAATGAAGCGTGATATTGTGGATTTTATTGCCAAATGTCCAAACTGTCAACAAGTAAAGTATGAACACCAAAGGCCTGGAGGATCACTTCAGAGAATGCCCATTCCTGAATGGATGTGGGAAAGGATTGCAATTGATTTCGTGGTTGGTCTTCCAAAGACAATGGGTAAGTATGACTTTATTTGGGTAATTGTTGATAGGTTAACTAAGTCTTCTAACTTCATTCCGGTCAAGGTGACTTACAATGCAGAGAAGTTAGCCAAACTTTACATCTCGGAAGTGGTGCGATTGCATGGGGTTCCACTCTCCATTATATCAGATAGAGGTACGCAGTTTACTTCTATGTTTTGGAAAACATTGCATGCGGAATTGGATACTAGGTTGGACCTTATTACTGCGTTCCATCCTCAGACCGATGGTCAGTCTGAGCGAACAATTCAAGTGTTGGAGGATATGCTTCGTGCATATGTGATAGAATTTGGTGGTCATTGGGATAGCTTCTTACCCTTAGCAGAGTTCTCCTACAACAATATCTATCACTCAAGCATTGATATGGCCCCATTTGAGGCACTATGTGGGAGAAGATGTAGGTCTCCCATTGGGTGGTTTGATGCATTTGAAGTTAGACCTTGGGGTACTGAACTTCAGAGAGAATCGTTAGATAAAGTGAAATCTATTCAAGAAAAGCTGTTAGCGGCTCAAAGTAGACAGAAAGAGTATGCAGATCGAAAGGTTAGAGACTTGGAGTTCATGGAGGGTGAACAAGTCTTGTTGAAGGTTTCACCCATGAAAGGGGTGATGCGTTTTGGTAAAAGGGGTAAATTAAGCCCAAGGTATATTGGTCCCTTCGAGGTTCTGAAGCGCATAGGGAAGGTGGCTTATGAGTTAGCCTTGCCTCCAGGGTTGTCCGGAGTACATCCGGTGTTTCATGTGTCTATGTTGAAAAGGTACCATGGGGATGGAAACTACATTATCCGTTTATACGTTTTAAGGGACGTTTTTTACTATTCCTGCTTTAATTATAAAGTTAGTGGGTTAATGTTAACAAGTCTAATTACTTGGGGGTTAAAAGAGGTAACCTTAAGTTAATTAGTGGGTTATTATTGCCATCTTTTAATCTTAATTATATACTAATTAGGGTAAAAGAAAGAGGGTTGGAATAAAGAAAATAGAAAGAACAAAGAGAGAGAGAGGATTGATCGAGAGAGGAGAAACGAAGAGGAAAACACAAAGCTTTGGGAATTTGCTTGCTTGATCACTAATCTTCGGTGGAGGTAGGTTATGGTTTCTCTTACGATATTCGTAGTAAACTCTTAATAGCGAATGATATGGTATTGATAATATTGTAAAACCTGCTATCTTCTTAATTGTATGCTTGCATGAATGTAATTATATAATTGTGATTATATAAGCATGATGAAGTTATTGAATCCCAAATCTTGCAAAACTCTAATATCTTTGTTAATGATGAGGCCTTGGTATAAAAGAAGGCGTGATGAACTAAATAATGAGATTGATGATGCCTTGGTAAGAAAAAAGGCTTGATGAATTGATACAAGGAGATTAGGGGATCGGGTGTCACGAACCGACACGTAGATTTAAGGGATCGGGTGTCATGAACTGACACGTAGATTTAGGGGATCGGGTATCACGAACCGACACGTAGATTTAGGGGATCGGGTGTCACGAACCGACAAGTAGAATTAGGGGATCAGGTGTCAAGAACCGACACATAGATTTAGGGGATCGGGTGTCACGAACCGACACGTAGATTTAGGGGATCTGGTTTCACGAACTGACATGTAGATTTAGGGGATCAGAGTGTCACGTTCCGACACATAGTAGTAGGGGATCGGAGTGTCACGTACCGACACAAGAGGATTAATGAATATGAGGAAGCGGAGTGTCACGTACCGACACAAGAGAAATAAAGATAATGAATCTTGAAAGATGTTAATATACTCAATCGAATGAACATAATTCCCAAATGAGTGTGGTATTGAGGCTTGAGTCCTCATGTGTGAAGTTGATGGTAATTGTTAATGATATAGTACTTGTTGTTGCTACATGTTGAGTATCATAGTTGATTTTATGATATTACTTGGTATATATTGTTTTCTATTTTGACTTGGCCGATGATATCTACTCAGTACCCGTGTTTTTGTACTGACCCCTACTTTTATGTTTTCTTCTTGTTTATTTGTGGAGTGCAGCAAACGTGCCGTCATCTTCGACTCAACAGTAACTCTAGCCAGTCTTCATTACTCCGGATATCAGGGTGAGCTAATGCTTCTAGCTTGGACTGGATCTTCCTTCTTCATGTCTTGATGCCTTGAAGTTCTTGCATGGACTAGCTTTTATGTATTTTTAGCTTCTTAGAAACTCTTAGATTTAGTAATTTGAAGTAGATAATCTTGTGATGATGACTTCCAGATTTTGGGGATAATAATAGTTATTGGTTTTCATTAATGAGTTTAAGTCTTACGCATTACTTTATGTTGATATTACATTGAAATGTTAAGGTATAGATTGGTTGGTTTGCTCAGATAGGAGGGTAAGTGTGGGTGCCAGTCGCGGCCCGGTTTTTTGTCGTGACACAAAGCATTGGTGAATGATTCATGGTTAGAAAAGATGCCACAAACCACCATAACTCATTTATCAACTACGGGGTCAGATCACTGTCCTTTGCTTTTGGAAATGGTATCCACAGAAGCAGACCACATTAAGTATTTCAGATTCCTTAATTTTTGGGTTGACAATCCCAACTTTATGCTTACTGTTAAAAATTGCTGGGATAGACAGGTAGAAGGTAATGCTATGTGGAAGTTTCACCAGAAAATGAAAAGATTAGCTATTACTCTCAGTGGTTGGTCTAGAAATGAATTTGGGGATATTTTTCAAAAGGTTAGGATGTATGAGGAACAAGTGCATGAAGCCGAAGAAAAATACATCCTAGACCAAATTGATTCAAATAGAAGCACTCTCCATGAACTCAATGCTCAATATATTAAGTTTCTTAAGCTTGAGGACAACATCTTGAAACAGAAAACTCAGCTTCAATGGTTTAAAGATGGTGACACCAATTCTAAGTATTTTCACTCCATTATAGGGGGGGAGGAGGAAACTCTTTATTCACAAAATTGTTAATGAAAATGGGGATTGGGTACAAGGTGAAAACAACATTGGCCAAGAGGCTTGTGAGCATTTCAAGAAAATTTTCATTGGAGAAAATAAGTACATCAATGAGCACAATCTGGAATGCATTCCTAGCATGGTCAATCATAATCAAAACACTCAGCTTACAAAATTACCAAATATCAAGGGGCTTAAAGAGGTAGTATTTTCCATGAATACTAACTCTGCAGCAGGTCCTGATGGTATGAATGGGTATTTCTTTCAAAAGTGCTGGAACATCATCAAGGAATATTTGATGGAAGTACTTCATGCTCTCTTCAATGGAAAAATTATTCCAAAGTACTTCTCTCACTCATGCATTGTATTGCTCCCTAAAGTGAATAATCCAAACAAATTTACGGAGTTTAGGCCAATCAGTCTGAGCAACTTTACTAGTAAGATTATATCGAAACTAGTAAGTAAAAGACTTAGCCGTATCCTTCCGTCTTTGATCTCTAACAATCAGTCTGGCTTTGTAAAAGGGAGAATTATCAATGAAAATATCATGCTTGCTCAGGAAATCATCCACCAAATTAAGAAACCCAACATTGGAAGTAATGTGATTATTAAATTAGATATGGCAAAAGCTTATGACTGGGTATCCTGGTCATATATTTGCCTAGTTCTAAGGAAAATGGGATTTAATGAGGTGTTTATTGACATGATTTGGAGGATTATGGCCAACAATTGGTACATTGTCATTGTCAATGGTAAAAGGTGTGGTTTCTTCCAATCTACTAGAGGTCTCAAACAGGGTGATCCGCTCTCTCCGGCCCTATTTATTTTAGGTGTGGAGGTACTATAAAGATCTCTCAACAGGTTACACAATAATCCGGAGTATCAAGGCTTCATCATGGAAAAAATAGGGCCTCAAGTGAATCATCTAAGTTTTGCAGATGACATAATTCTCTTTACTTCAGGAATACGCAAAACATTGAAACTCCTTATGAATACTTTGAAGGAGTACGAGAAGATTTCAGGGCAACTTATCAATGGAGATAAAAGCCACTTTATGCTACACCCTAGTGCTTTCAATAGCACTAGGGATAGGATTAAAAGGCGGAGAGGCTTTAAACAGAAATAGGGCCCCATCACTTGTCTAGGTTGCCCTTTATTTGTTGGCAGACCTAGGAATGTTTATTTTGCAGATCTTATTAACAAAGTCGTTTCCAGAATTACAGGTTGGCAAACTAAGCAACTTAGCTATGGAGGAAAGGCAGTACTCTCGAAGCATGTTCTTCAGGCCTTGCCAATACACCTACTATCTGCAGTAACTCCCCCAAATACTCTCATCAAACAGATCCAAATGCTTATTGCAGACTTCTTCTGTGGATGGAAAAACAATAAGAAAAAATACCATTGGTCCTCTTGGAAAAATTTGAGCTACCCTTATGAGGAAGGGGGGATAGGGATGAGGAACTTACAAGATGTTTGTAAATCATTCCAATTCAAGCAATGGTGGATATTCATAAACAAGCAAACCTTATGGGGAGATTTCTTGAAAGATAAATATTGTCAAAGATCAAATCCGGTGAGTGAAAAATGGGACACTGGAGAGTCTTTAAATTGGAAACATATGCTAGCTACTAGACAACAGATGGAGCAGCACATTCAATGGAGACTTCAAGCACGGAATTGTTCTTTTTTGTGGGACAATTGGCTTGGCATAGGGCCATTAGCTCACCACACCAGTAGCAGCAACAAGCTCAACTATATCACAGTGGCAGCATTCTAGGAGAATGGAGAATGGAATCGGAAAAAATTAGTGGAGTATGCACCAGCCAACCAACTAAATAGCATACTAGCCATAAAGATCCCTCACCAACAGAACTTACTAGATCAACCTGCTTGGACTCTCAACAGCCATGGTAGTTTCAGTTGTGTGACCGCTTGGGAGCAAATCAGTGAGAAAAAGTCTAAGAATAAGTTCAATTCCTTTTTATGGAACAAATCCATTCCTTTTAAATCTTCTTTTCTTTTATGGAGAACTTTAAAAGGTAAACTTCCTACAAATTATAAGTTAACTAACTTTGGCATTGAGCCATCACCTTGTTATTGTTGTTTTGGCAGAATAGGCATGGACAGCATCGACCACACCTTTAATTCAGGACCATTTGCAGCTCCAGTGTGGAGATTTTACGTAGCTACTGCAGGACTACAACCTGAGAAATCAACATTGCAGGAGAGGGTGAAACAATGTTGGACAGCAAAGCCACGAAATTCAGGCCATAACCTGCTGCTGCAAGCCACGCCAGTCTTCATTTGCTGGAACTTATGGAAGAACAGGTGCGCATGTAAATACGTAGGCAAATTCACTAATATCAGCCGCATCAAATATGCAATCTACAAGGATACATACATGATGCTGAAAATGCCTTCCCCCATATTATATCGCCTGCAAGCTGGACAACATTAATCCAAACAAGTGAACAGTGTAAACATATCATCAAAGTGTGCATGGTAGCATAAATAGACCTCCAGATCATTGGATCAAGATCAATACAGATGGAAGCGCCCTCACTAACCCAGGGAGGACTGGGGCTGGAGGTATTCTCAGTGACAAAGAAGGAAAATTGGTGATGGCATTCTCAACATCTCTTGGAGAAGGATCGAACAACAAAGCTGAAACTGAGGCTGCTCTGCTTGGACTGTCTTGGGCACTGGAACTAGGTTACCAAAATATACAAATTGAGTTGGACTCTCAGTTGGTGGTACATTGGATCACCAAGAAAACAGTCCCTCAATGGACAGTTGCCAATCAAATAGAGGAAATTCAGCAGCTTATCTTGCAAACTCAGAATTTCAGATGCTCTCATATCTTCAGAGAAGCAAACAGTGTAGCAGACTCCCTCGCAAAACACAGTCACATCACAACAGCCCTCCAAGTCTATTTCAACACAAATTAACTACCCAAAAAAGCACAAGCATACTAACAAATGGACCTGCAGAACATACCAACCTTTAGAAGAAAGAAGACTAAGAAGATTTTTGAACCTCCATGAAGCTTGTACCTATTCAATTTGGCTTTATTCAAGCAATATAGCTACTTTGAATAGGATATAGAGTGGTTAGTTTTTTATATGAACTTCTCTTGTAAAGGGAGAGTCTTCCTAATTTATGCTTCCTAGATACTTTGTATCGAGAGGGGTCCTCTCCTTAGGCTATTAGTATTTTGGTTTCATCTTTGAAATGTAAGGGGAGGAGTTGAATTTCAATAGGAAAGTCGACTCCAAACCACTTTAGGATTGGAGGTTAGGTTTTATGCCCCCCTCCTTGTATTTTGTTTTGTTTTGTATTAACGTTAAGGACTGGGGGTGTCGCTAAGCCCGTACCTCTCCAAGGGTTATTAAACTAAAAAAAACACTAATACATGTTTCTCTTCAAGACTTCTCTCAAATTCCACCAACACCGTTAGCAAATAGACAAAATATATGTAATTAGTACATTAGAATCCACTAAGTATGACATAATGCATTAAATCATGATAAAAGGACATTTGTATAAAACATGCTATTTTTCAGTAAAACTTTATAAGACAAGTATGAGAGTCACTTACAAGTCAATATCAACACATATAAGTCACATATCACCATATAGCATATCATCGCATCAAATCACATAAATATAAGACTCTCCTACCAAAGGTCCTCCTACATCTCAGTTGAGTGAGAGATGAAGTGGACGGCCATACAACACCTTCACACACACCTAAGAGATCCTTAAGTATTCCTAAGGTAAGATTATTCACTATATTCAAGAAAAGACCTACCTAACGTTACTCTAAAACTCACCTAAGTAAGAAATGAAGAGACTACCTATACTCCCTCAAGCCTACCTAAGGAATACTCAAATCTACTCTAGACAATTACTTTCTTATTCAGATGCATTCAACATAAGTCACTATGTTCATTAAGTCATTAAATAGACATTCAACAATTAAGGACTTTCATATAATACCTTGGAGAAGACCTAGGGAGCCTACATATAGACATATTCAAAGCATAATTGTGCAATGTCTAGAAAGAGTCCCATTCATCTTCCTAAAATTTATAGTACCCATCCAACACTAGCATGTATCCACATGATGATAATAGAAAATAACCGACATAGACCATACTAGCTAGGCATGGATTTCAGAGTCTTCCCTACTCTAATGGAGGGTGTTCTACTTGCTAGTGGTATAACTAGGAAACATACCATGTAGGCACATGGTTAAGGAATATCAAGGGTTTCCTTGTACTCTAGTATCCATCTCAACTAGATCTACCCCCCAAGTATAGTTTTCAAATCCTAGGAGCACCCTTAGATGTAACAGACGTCTTCTTCTTCTTTGAGGATTAAAACTAGCCTATTAGCTTACATTATTACATTCATAGGCCAAAATGCAAAAATTTTAAAAACTTTTCATTACATCTAGATTGAGGTTTATATAGATCTCTACATACACATAATATATATATCGAGTATACATAGACCCTTCGTATAGGAAAATTACTTAGTCTTCTACTTTTATTGCACATATATATATAAAATATCACATACTCTCAAATGGATGTCTCATCTCATAACCATCTAACAAGAGTATATCAAATTGGGCCTTGCCCATACATTAATATACCAAAACCATATATAGGCTAACAATGTTTAGAAATTAAATGAAAAGGAAAGAACATAAGAGTCTTAAAACTAAAACAACTTCATAGATTGATAGTGGCATTTCCCTCGGAATGTGAGGACCTACCCAACTTGGATGAATAAGATTTCCAAGCCTTCCTTCAATGTCGTCTCAAATACCTTCAACTACCGGAACCTAAAATGTTGGGGGAAAGGGAGAAAATGAGGTTAGTACACCACTTGTACTAAGTATGAGACCACATGCACACATATTATCAAAACATTTTAAAAAGGGACCTTTCATGAAAACATGTTATTTTATATTTTAGAAAGCCTTCTGCACATTCAAGAATACCATACATATCAATAAGACATATTCATTAAGTATAAAGCATGTTCATCATAAGACCTACAATACTTAGTCTAGTAAAGTCAACATGCATATCACATAATTGGACACATAGTCAAAGATACTCTATCATCAAGTTATAATAGCAACAAGCATAGATAAGAGTTCATTACAACATAATCAAAGCAAAACAATTACCCATAAACTCCTATTCAGTTAACAAGTACAATGACCAAGCAAAGCCCCATAACCTTACTCAATCAAGTAACCTAACAAGAATCATGACTAACATCCAACTTCACATAACATGTCATTAAGAGTACATATCATCATATTTTAACAATGAAGACTAACACATATTTATAAGTTACACCAATCATCATGTAGTATCATCAATGTGAAAGATCATCATATACATAGCATGTACAATTATAATCATATACATATATAAAAACAACCTTCTAAAGTTTCCTTCAAGGAAAAGTAAGTCAAGGCATAGGTATATTCCCATACACCTACCTAGGCTTAGTCAAAACCCTTAAGTCCCTTTAGTTGGTTTGTAATTCATTATTTTTTTTGTTTAAGGAAAACTTGCCTTAATTGACATAGACCAGAAGAGCTAAGTGTGGTATCCGGTGTTGTAAAACCTTACACCGATGGAAGATCGTCTACCGGCCAAAGTAAAACAAAACATAAATGTAGCTTTCTAGGTGGATCCAATAGCTAGTCTTCCAATGGGGGAAATATAGTTATAGAACTAAGAGATATGTATAATTATCATCATCATAGATCAATATAATTGCATGAGTAGTGTCCTTTCAATACAATTCATGAAATGCGGTTAGAACATTTACATATCACTTCATAATAAGGAACATTGGTAAATCATCACCATCCTTATAACAGTTTACATCATAGCCAACCCATCACAAAGCATAGTCAATATATTTTAATTCAACATCTTACCAACCCTATCAATCTTAAAACAAGATATACTTCAATGAAATATCATCACTTAATTAAAATTTACCACAATTGAAGAAATGAATAGAGATTTCAAGACTTACCAAGTCTCCTTCATAATCCAACATCAAGGTCTTACCATCAACACTTAACTCAAACAAGTAAGGGTATAACATCATCATAAATCAATAACAAACATGACAACAAACCTAATTGAATTGCTACATCACAATCCATTTCTAGTTCATACCTTAAGAAAATATACTTAGGTCAAATTCATAACATACTTCATAACCTCGATCAAATTCTCAAGAACTAGCATTATAGGACTATAATTCATCCTAATCTATTCATAATTACTACAGTAACATCATACAATCATAATTAAACCAATAACCAATTCAATTGAACCAATATAACACAATTCATATCGAGATCACAACCTAGGGTTAAGGGGAATAGGTCAACTTCTACAAACTAGACCAATCCATCAAGTCATAACATAATTAAGTTATAATACACATTAATATATTCATAATATCAAAAATAACTCATAAAAAAGAAAGCCTTATCATCAATTTCGTATTGGATGAAAACGCACTTGAAAACTCAACTTTTAAAATCAATTTGGTGGAACCCTATGAGGAAAGAGGTCTCAAAAGTAAAAGAAATATCGCACCTTACTAATTGATGAGGATTGATGGATAAATTACACCATTTGCATCCCCTGAACCCACCCCTATCTTGGTCTTCAATGGAGTTTTTCAACTAGAGAGCAAAAGAGGAAAGATAGGAAGAGAGTTTTGAGT